GTGCGCCCCCCGGACGCACCCCAGGGCTCGGGGGTCCCTGAGGCACCCCGAGTGCTGGCGGTGGTAATGTTGGATGTGGCCACCCGAGGTTTTCTCCATCTCGCTGAAGTCAGAATGCAGGAATCTTTAGAAACCTCTATTTAAGGAGATCTGGGACTTACGAGGGAGGGGAAATCAGATGCCTGAGTGCCCCACCCCCCCACCGGGGCTTCACGACCTACTCTTGAGCGGCTCTCTTTGCAAACAGAATGCCCACCCTTAGTGTGGGTCCTAAAGGACCCGCTGCCTGCCCTGGGTACCTGGGTCTCCATGATCTGATTATCTGGTTACTCACAGCCACCTGGGTCTTCGGGGTGGGAATGGGGCTGGGGGCAAGTAGGGGAGGTGAGAAACCCTTCCTGGAATCTTGTACACATCTGTCCGTTTCCACATTTCCTCCTAGCAGGTTCTTTCTCATTAACAAGGGTCTTGGTCCCACGTCTTTTCCTTCCTCCCAAGGGCGAGGGGCACTTGTTTCCTTTTCTTCAGGTGACCAGGAATCAGCTCTTTGCGGCTGCAGCTCTCATCCAGCCACCCACTCACACAGACACCCCACACCAGGCATCCAGCCTGCCATCCTGAAAGCAGAGCACCCAGGCTGCCCACAAATTGCTTTGAAAAGGGCAGGAATGGGAGGGAGGCTGGAGGGAGCAGAGGAGAGAAGGAAGGTGTGGACAGATGTCTCGGCTCTTCCTCTTCCTTAAAGCATGCTCATCAGGTCAAGACTGATCAGGGCCCCACTGTGCCCTGAGCGCTGGGGAGGATAGCCTGGCCCTGGGGCACCATGTTTGGGGAGGGGGTGGTGAACACACCAGGGAGCAAAGGGGGTGAGTTCAGTGGAGGAAATTCATAAAGCACTGCAAGCAAGTGGAATCAGGGGACAGGACGGTTTATGGCTCTGGTGTTCAGGGAAGGCGGCTCTGAGGTGACATTTTTAAGATGAGACCTTGACCATCGAGCAGTGAGCTGGAGACAGAATTTACTTGCAGGTGGGGGAGACAGCAAGGACACCAGTGTCGGAGCCCCACCCCCTGCAGCTAGAGAACATGAGGTGCTTTCCAGAAGGGCCGGGTGGTAGCTTCCTAAGAGTGCTGGGAAACACAGAGGGACCTGTTATCAGGTGAATGTACAACCCATTTCCATATCAGCCAGGAAGAACATGGGGAGTCTGCTGCCCAAACAGACTTAACCAGAGGTTTGAATATCTGGAACATTCTGGAGGAAAAAAAAAAAAACCAAAACAGAACTGACTCCATTTGCTTCAAATCTTATAGGCAAGACAGGCCTTCCATGGGCCACTTGACCAGAAGTGGGTGTGAGGGGGACTGCTGTGATCTCACAGAGCCAAAGTGGGAGGCTGTGCTTTCCAGAACATGAACACATTATGATTCACCTTCTCCCCAAACGCCCAGTCGCTGCCATGGCTTGGCCGCCCTGGAGAGAAGTCTTTGACAAACAGCAGATGACTTCTGATCACAGGGAAGTGAATAGGGACACCCAGGCAGCAGCGTGTCCCAGGCCCCGCGGGGAGTTAGGGCGAAGGCACGTGGGCTAGGTTGCACAATGGAAGGGTCATCCTGACTTCATTTAAAATGTTGAGATTTTGCTCACCTTGAATTTTCTGTGTCCGTTTTGACCGTCAACATGACCTTCAAAAGTAAAATCATATCTGTCGTGATTTCCAAATGTGTCCCCACATTTGGGACATTCCCATAAATTTTGTGTTGTTGGCGAGTGCCTCGCTCCCCTCACCCTGATCCTGCCCCCCTTGCGCCATTCACACTTACCGGGAGTAAACTTGATGACAATGCCCAGTTAGGTTCTGGAAGTTTCCCTGCACCCACACACAGCTTCCCCTGAAATGGACTCCCTTGTGTGGAATAATGTTGGAGATGTGTATACATCTAGGGGCAGGAAAAACTTGCCCACACTCCAAATGTCAAACACCCAGTTAGTGGCCCACACAAGTGACCCCAGTGACCATGACCTCTGACCTCATCGAATCCACTGCTGAAGGCTGGGGGCTGCCCATCCACGGAAAGCCTGTAGTGTAGAAGCTTCTATTTCTCACAGTGCCAGATGGTCTGCAAATGTCAAAGAGGGGAGGAAAGGCCAAAATTTCCATAAGTTAGCTTGAGCCAGGGGCCAGTGGGTGGGTGGTTGGCTCTGTTGGCCAGTCTTGAGAGGAAAAGGGGCTTGAACATTTCCTCTGTGACGGGAAGCCAGAGGAACAAGAAGGGGTGGTCTTTCAAGATCTGGGCCCGGGGCTGCGGGCCGAGACAGGGGCTGCAGGAGGCGAGATCGGGTTTGTAGAGACGGGTGTGTGATGCTAAGGGATTTGGACTTTATCTGCCAGGAGATCAGGAATCTGCAGAGGTTTTCAAGCAGGTTTTAGGAGTGATCTGATCAAAATTGTTTCTAAAGTTAGATCAAAGATAGGAGAGGAGAGAGAGAGAGAGATTGGATATTTAATAGAAAAAAGTAGATATTTAATAGAAAAGAGGTATTGGGGTACACTCTAAGGGGTCCCAAGTGTGTGTTCCATGCTAGAGAAAATGGCAGGCCCCCATACTGCACACTTTTGCAGTGGGACACATTCATCCAGGAGCTTGTGAAGTCACCTGCTTTTAAGAGCACATGGTCGGGTGATTGCCAGCTCTGGGGACTCACCAGCATCCCGACATCCCAGCCTCAGGGGGACGTCCCCACGCCGCTTTGTGAGAGGGAAGCTCAATGCTCCGAGAAATGCCAGAGGATTAAGGGGAAGGGCACGCAGGAATAAAGGCTTTTTCATGGAGAGCCCTTAGCCGCTTGTTCCGAGCAGCTTGGGAGAACATTCATAAAAGTAGGGCTGTGCATTCATGGACCGTTTACAAAGGCCTCTGCACACGCATTGTCTTGCACTTGAACCCCGCAATCTACCCTGACACCCAAGATGGATGTGGAGTCCTTCTATTTTAAAATAAAGCAGATCCAGCCAGGGAGGCTCAGAGAGGTTAAGTGACTTGCCAGAGGTCACACAGCTGTTAAGGAGAAAGCCCGACCGGGGGCTGGGAGGTTGGATGTGGGGAAAGCTGTCGGTGGGACCCAAAGTATCATGAAACAGTGAGGCAGGAGGACTGAGTTTCTAATGCCTGATGATGAGGCAGGTCTGTGACCTGCAGAGACCGTTCCGAAGCAAGCAAGCCCATCTAGGGGATCATGCCAAAGACCCCAAAGGCCCAGGCTGGGTTGAAAGCAAAGATCCTACTCAGGTGACATGGTGCTTGTTTACAGATCCTTCCTGCTCTTGCCAACTGCCCCGGAAGCGCCTTGAGGGCAGGGCTGTGTACTCGTGTCTCCTGGGGCGCGAGCAAGTCTAAGGAATTAATAGCCACCCACCCGGGAGGGTCCTCGTCCCCCACACAGCAGAGCCTGGTTGGTTTCATCAGACTTGTCTATAGCTGCCGTGATCCGGAAAGACCGGCAGAATGCGGAGAGCTGCCTCACCTTCAGAGATGACAAGAGGGAAGCTCAGAGAGGGTAACGTCTCACCTAAACTCACACAGCAGGGCCTGGCCTTAACTCTAACACTTCCCAGCTGTGTGCTTTGGGCAATTTGCGATGCCCTCTCTGTGCCTCCGTGGCCGCTCCATAAAGCGGGGTTTAAATAAAGAGATTGAATGAGGAGGGAATATCCTGGGATTAAACAGAACTGGCGTAGGCTGCTAGGCTTGGCCAGGCTGGGGCCGCGCCCTCGGCAAGATGCCGATTCTCCGGGCTTTGTGGCCCTTGCTCTCAATCACGGCATCTCCTCGCCTGATTAAAGTAACCAAGCTAGTCAGTAGATGAAGTCTACACACGTATGTGCACCAGCATGCGCATACACAACATGGGTTTATACACAACCACACGCGCACACAGACTCGTACACACGTGTATGTGCATATGTGTTTTTCTTTTTCCTTAGGAGGAGAAGAGAAGCGGGTAGCATGGGAGCGAAATCTTTATCTTCTCTCTGGAGAGCGCATAGATTTTGTCTTCCTTTAGGGAATGCAGGCCGGCAGTAATCACATTCTTTAGCATTTGAAAGGAGCCTCGGGGAGACTCTCAGTGGAGTTCAAAGGGGCCGAGAAAGGAGGGCAGACAGTTGCTTTTTCATCATAAGCTCTTGACAGCTCCTAGTTGAACTGTTCCTAAGAGCCAGTTCTCCAGGGAAATACGTTTTACGTTCAAGGCCCAATGTTGCACGACCGCGACTTTGGGACCCTGCGTCCTTGGCAGGGCCTGGTCTGGGGCCTGGCCCGCGGATGCCCCTCCCCGCCCAGCCGAACGGGAGAATCAGATTGTCCCCAGCACCCTCGCTCTGTCCCCCGCGTGAGCCACAGCCGTCCCTGCCCCGGGACACAGCTTCCATAATGACTCACGGCTTCATTTTTAGCTCGCATCCTCCCCGAGCCCGGGCTCTGTCTTTGCTGGGCCGCTGCCTGTCTGGGGGGTCGGGGCCTGTGTCTGGCCTCACCGTCCCCGGGCCCGAGCCCACGGTGGGCAGGGACCGGCGTCCATCCCTGAGACCGGCTCTCGCCCACCTGCCCACCCACCTGCCCACCTAATGGAGGGACACGGGGACAGAACGGATCCATGGTGCATCTGTAAGTGGGAGCATGTCCTTCTGCTGACATCTGAGTGTGTGTGTGTCTGGAACAAACTCAGGATTCCCCATGCTTTGAGCGAAATAATGAAAACTCTGCCGCCAACTTCCCGGCTTGGAATTCTCGCTGCCCCTCCCCGGTCCGTTCCAGAAGAGGGCCGGCCGCCTCCTGTCACAGCCGCATGCAGGGGCTGAAACGGGGCTGCTAGCTCGCTGGTTCACACCTTCGGGGTTTAAGGAGTTTTAGCTGAAAAGGCCTTTTCTTGCCAGCTTCTCCGAAGCTTGAGTCAACAAAAAACCTATTCATGTCCTCAGAGCACTTAATTAAGGCAGGGCAGGGATAAAATCAGTGACCGAGCGAGCGTAGTCAAAATGCAGTCGTTAATGTCAGGTGAGCCCGTTGCATGTTCCTGGGGAAGCCAGGTCCCCCTAATTTTGGTTTTATAAAGTTGAAAGAGTAATATCATGAAGACCCAAGCTCCCTCACCTCCACGCATCATGGGTTGCCATGGTGACACATCAGGCCTCCTTCGATGTCTCTCCCGTGTGCACACGCGTCTGTGTGATCCCTATGCGTTATCTGCTTCTCTGAACCCTTGAAAACTTAGCGGCAGACATCATGACCCTTAACCCCCAATACTTAAGTGGCATCTTTAAGAACAAAGACGATCTCCTACGTAAACACAATAGTGTGACCACACCAAAGGAATTTAACACTGGGGCAAAAGTATTATATGACCTGTATTTTATATGTATTATGTATTATGTATTATAATCCTCCTCCCTGATTATCCCAATAAGGCCCCTGAAAGCTGCTTTCTTTTTCAATCCATGGGAAGACAACTCTGCGCAGCGCTCTTGTGTCTCTGCACATCTTTCCAGGAGAAGCTCTGGCTGCCCTCTGTCTGGACCGTCATGTCAAGGATGTTTGTACGGAGAACAGCCTCAAAAGGTCGAGATAGTGTGTTCCCCCAAAGCAAAGGGTAAGTGTGCTCATGGTCCAGTAGAAGAAAGATAACATCTGGGCACCTGGGTGGCTCAGTTGGTTAAGCGTCTGCCTTTGGCTCAGGTCATGATCCCGGGATCCTGGGACCCAGCCCGCGTGGTGGGTGGGGGAGGGTCCCTGCTCAGCGGGGAGCCTGCTTCTCCCTCTCCCTCTGCCCCCTCCCTGCTTGTGCTCTCTCTCTCAAATAAATAAATAAAATCTTAAAAAAAAAAAAAAAGTCCCACAATCCGCATTTGTCTGATGGCTTCCTTGAGATTAGACTTAAGATAAACACTTATCCAGGAATTTTACAGGGTTGATGTTGAGACGTCCTTAGCAAGAGGGATGTCACGTCAGCTTGTCTCAGGATTGACCCCGCTAACATCTTGTCACCTGGTTGAGGTGCCGTCCGCCACGTGACTTCGTCGTAAAGTTATCTTGCCCTTTGTAATGTATCAGGAATCTGTGGGGAGATGCTGTGAGACCACGGAATAGCCTGTTCCCTGACAAGCCTTAACCTCTGCAAACCCCGGTGGATCCAGCTGCCGAGGGCACTATGCTGGGCCACAGCCCCCATCCTGTGATGACGACGACGTTTGCCTCCTGCAGAGCCTGACATAGTTTCCACCCGGCGGCCCTTGGCAGAAAGAGTCTGCTGAGCCCCGTGAGTGGTGGGCAGTGGGGGCGGAAGGTGAATCCACGAGTCACCTCCCGTAAGCCCCCTTTGACACATTCATCTCTCTACACCACTTTTGTTACAGTTTATCAAATGTTTAGGGGTTGAGGTTCTCTTGCTCTTAAGCTGCACTTAAATGCAAACATCTTCAGGACTTGACCCAGCAGACTAACATCTGCGGAAGCCGCCCTTCTGCACGTCCCCCGCTCGGCGCATCGGCACAAGGCAACATGTTCTGGGGTCTTCCAAATGTGGGACACCACCCAAACGGGCTCCAAATTACTTCCTCTGACTAGTAACCGTGATGCCACGTAAGTTGGTGAGCCTGTCTGCCCGAATCCATAACGACAAAGCATCACTGCTTGATTGAGAAGGTTTGGGGGATGAAAAAGTTGTTAGAGCGAAAAATAAGGAGTCCTCCCAAAAGTGCCTTGGCTTTTCAAGAGGCATCATGGCAGACGCTCAGTTAGTCCAACAGTCCTTTTGAGCTCCGTCTGAATAAAGAGGCAGACAGGGCATCTGTGCACATTAAAAATAACCCAAGACTCTGTCTAGCTTGGTCAGAGCCCAGGCGAGACCAGAGTGGCTGCGAGGCGTGCAGAGGAGAGAGCAGGCCGCTCCCCAGCTCCTGCCAAAGCCCGGAGGGAGGGAGCCCAGCAACAGGGGCCCACGGTCCCCTCACAGGCGCCCCCGGGGTGAGCACATCACAGAGCGGGGCAAACAAATACGTTTCTATTCCTTCCTCAAGGAAAACACAAGTCTGGGCAGATACTCTGGTTGTGTGGTTTTCAGCAGAAAGTGAAGACAAAGGGCATTGAGTGGGAAGCGAAGGAAAGGCTCCCGCTCCTGGCGCAATGCTGGGGGCTTCGGGGAGGGCAGAGGCTGCGCACCAGATTCCAGTAAGGGCATGGCTCGCGGGAGGCGAGGGCTCAGCAGTGCTGGCTGGCTGTGTGGTGCCGAGATGCCAAGGGAAAGGGAGAGGGGCTTCCTGACGTCCCTTCAAGCTGCAGTTATTAACCTAACACCTACTGTATGCCCAGCATTGGGGATCCAGCCACGGACAAGTCAATCTTGGCCCCCATTCTTATGGTGTTTCCAATCTGGGGGGGTGGGGGAGAAAATAATTAAATAATTACGGAGAATTATAATACTATACAAATAAAATGGGATGACGGGATGGAGAGTAACCAGGACTGCTTTAGGTGGAGGTGGGGGCCGGGAGCGTCAAGGAAGCTGGTGACAAGGGGGCTCGCTCTGAGGAGAGCCTGGCAGAGGACACGGAAGGTGCAAAGGCCCTGAGGCTGCCACAAACTCAAGGTGTGCTTTATAAGGGGAAGCACGTAAAGAGAGGCACGGAGAACAGAATGGGGAACATAGAGACAGGAGGACGGGGCGAGGGCTGTGAAAGTGAGTGAGGCCAGTCGTGAAGGACTGGAGGAACGGGGACAGGACAGGAGGACCACTGTGCTGTGAGCACATGGAGGAGGAAGGGAGATGGGCGTACGTGCGGAGCGGTCCCGTTGCCTTTGCTCCTGAGGGATTCCGACTTGTCTCTACGTGCCGGACCTGCCATCTTTGCTGGCGTTGTGTGTGTGTGGCTGTTATTTCCCCGACCGGATTATAAACTTCTCAAGGGCAGAGCGCACGCCACCTTCTTTTTCTTCTTTCCACACAGCACCTTGCACAGGGCTCTGTCCACGGTGGGCTCGTTAACCATCGTTTGAACGAACGGATGGATGGACAACGGGTGGGTGGATGGATGGATGGATTCTCCAACTAGCACGTGTCTCTCTGCAATTAGCCTTGTTCCTAGTTAGCTCAGGTTGGATCCATGTTTTGCACATGCCGCGTGAGCCACAGAGGTGAGCACGCACACTCACTTAACTCAAAAAACATTTCTGACCCTCGGGCTTTCCTAAAGCAAGGATCAGCAGCTTTGCTTTCCTGCCCCGTAGGGGGACGCACGGTGCCTTACATAGACACACCAACCCAGAGACGAACGGGAACCAGGAGGTGGTGTCGGAAAGAGGAGGAGAAAGAGCAGGGAAGCGTGGCGAGCTGGCTAGCGGGGGACACGGGGCGGGACTGAGTTTCCAGGCTTCTGGGCACTTGGGGGCAGCCGTGTGATTGAGCTCTGACCCCTGGCATGCGGCTGGGGTCGACGCGCACCCCTCTGGAGCCTGGCCCACGGAAGCTTCTCTCAATCCCTCTTCCATCACTGGCTGAAGGGGGAGGATTCCAAAGATGTCAAGGAGGATGGAGCCCCCGGCTGCAGGCCCCCGAACCACTGTGTGGATGACCACCCAGCCACCGAGACGGGAGGTGGGGTGTGGGCCACCACTCGAGCTGCTTACCCTCCAGTAAGAAGAGGAGGGGAGGGAAGGAGAGAAGTAGGGGGCTCTTCCTTTAAAGATTTTTATTTTATTATTTATTTTGAGAGAGAGAGAATGAGAGAGAACACATGAGAGGGGATAGGGTCAGAGGGCAAAGCAGACTCCCTGCCGAGCAGGGAGCCTGATGCGGGACTCGATCCGGGGACTCCAGGATCATGACCTGAGCCGAAGGCAGTCGCTTAACCAACTGAGCCACCCAGGCGCCCGGGGCTCTTCCTTTATACAGCAGACTCCAGGGGAAGGACACCTCAGCTCACTGGAATCTCGGTGCCAACTTCTGGGACACAGGACAGGGATGTGAAATAATCCTCTCTGGGACCCCAGCCTGGTGGACAGTCGCAGGGAGGGAAGGGCAGAAAGGGGGCAGGGACCAGGGCCAGGGCACCCGACGCAAAGCCATTGATGTGGGGTCAAAAATTCCATATTTTATTATTATTATTTTTAAGATTTTATTTATTTATTTGAGAGAGAGAGTGAGCGCAAGCAGGGGGACCAGCAGAGGGAGAAGCAGGCTTCCCTCGGAGCAGGGAGCCTGATGCGGGGCTCGATCCCAGGACCTCGGGATCATGACCTGAGCCGAAGGCAGACGCCCAACTGACTGAGCCCCCCAGGTGCCCTCGAAATTCCGTATTTTAAAAAATGAATGGATTAAAAAAAAGGAGAGAGAGGTTTGGTGGGAACTTCATCTTGAAAAATAAATCTAAAGTGGTACAAATCCAAAATAAGCGAATCTCATCTTAATTTCACAGTGTGGAAACGCTGCTTTCACTCTCGGCGCAAAAGACAAGGGGTGACTTCTCTTCCACCAGCCATGTTTTCTCCCAGCGAAATTTCCTCCGGGCACCACCTTCCCTTCACATCGGACTTGTTGGCAGCTCTGTGCTCCATCACTGTTTCCACGGGCTTCCCTCAGTCCTTTGGAATTCAACTCATTGTCTTACAGGCTCGATTTAACAACGTCGTTGGCTGGAATTGGGATCCACCAATGTCCCTCGAGTGACTGCCGGACACAAGATGCTCTCATCACCACCTTCACGCAGCAGATGGGTGCCAAAGTGCATCTCTTAGTTCCCCCCAGGGCATGCCAAATAGGCCCTCTGCAACTGCCACATCCTCCCCGAGGGGCTTTAGCAGTGGCACCTTGCAAAGTGGGGAGACCTTCCGTGGGACTTCGATGGCCAACCTGTCTTTGGAGCCATTTGCCCACATGAGCCGAGGTTGGAGTAGCTGACCCTGGTTCTTCTGGGAGGTTCCCAGATTCCTGGCCATCCACCGTGTTTCCTACTACTGTTTTTCTAGCCTACTTAGCTATTCAGGGGGAAAAATATCACAGTGGGTAGGAAGTTTTTGCTCAAAAGCCAAACAAAGAGAAGAAAAACAAGAGCAAAGGGAAAGAAGGTTAAAAAAAAAATAATAAAGCCTTTGAGAAATACCGAATGCTCTTGTTAAGCAAATAATTTCCTAGGGCTTCCTAACAGACAAGGAAACCCGATAGCCGCAAAAAATAAATCCAAGTTAAAGAAAATACCCCCCCCCAACCTCCCCACCCCAGTTCCAGACTGACTTTCTGTGCCTTCGCTAGAGTTTGCCCACGGTGGGGCTCCTGGCATCTGCCGGTGTCGAGGGCCCAGTGAAGACTGCCTAGAAGCCAGCTGGTCAGAATGCTGGACACATCTGGAAGCTTCTTAGACCCTCTCCTCTTGCCTGGGCTCCTGAAGCGGCTGTTCTGTTGTCGATCCTGGTGCCTTGGCTTCTAATCAAAGAGGAAGGGGAGGGTGAGGAAGTTTTTGACTTGGAACCGCTGGCTGGATTTATCTCACCATTTAGGGCTTTGCTCAGATGTCACCTCCTCAGGATGCCTTCCCTGACCATCCTGCCTAGTCGCCCCTCCTTCCCTCCCCAGCCTCTGCGTTCCATGACCCTGCTTTTTGCTCTCCTTAGAATGTACTGCCCCCTAAAATCGTGGGGTTCACTTTTGGTGTGTCTCCCACACTAGTGGCAACTCCACGGAGGAAGGAACTTTACCTGTCTTATCCCCAGTCGATCCCCAGCACCTGGAAGAGTGTTGGGCACATCGTAGGTGCTCAGTCAATGTGGAATTAAATTGAACCCTTAAGAAGAAATGATAGAAAATATGCGTTCCAAAAGGATTGGACCCTACCTCCTAGGAGTTTCTTTACAAAAAAAGTTATATATATCTTTATATATAACTATATATCTTGATATAAATACATAAAGATATGTATAGTTATATATAAAGTTATACACACACACACACACACACATATGTATACATATACTTTTTTTCTATCAGTAATTCAATGAAAACAACTCTTGCAAAGCACAGCATGAAATAACCAGGGTCACTGTGAAGAATACCATGAGGTAATTCTGTAAATTACTTGACGAAATGGTGCATCGTGAGTGCTCGATGAATATTGGCACTTCCTAACAACTACTCATACTGAGCTCATGGTCAACGAAGTCCCGTTTTTTCCACGTATGCTGTTGTATCTTCCATTCTAGTCCTTTTGGTTTTTTGAAATGTGGTTTGATCTCTCCTACTCTTCATCTTGTTATGCTCTGCCAAAAATATCTCACCATTCATCAGCTTATTTTTCCCAGCTTTGTATCATTGTTGAATGTAATCAGCATACTTTTGAAGGCCTTGTGAAAAATCATTGATAAAAATGTTGAACTGAATGGAACAAAGGCAGAGTCCGGTGGCTTAATACTAGAGACCTTTCTGAAGGTTGGCCTCAGCTGTGTTAGATCAGCCTTCCTTGGCTCGTCACTCTGATGGTTACAAAACCATTTAGTCATGCTCTCACTGAGCTCACTCTTCCCCATCTTGTTCACCTTGTCAACGCCTTGCTGAAATGCAGGTACCCCTTAGAGTTACAGAATTCCTCTGATGTATCACTCCAGTGACCCAGAGTAGCCTCATCAAATAACTCAACCCCCTTTGTCAGGTGTGACTTGTCCTAAGTGAACCCATCTTGGCTTCCAGAGATCACCTTTTTATAAATTCAGAAACAGTGCTCTTAGTAATGATATCAGTCACCTGAATCTACGCTCTGCTCAGGACCATATACCTACAAATCTCAGCGGCTTACAACAACAAAGGTTTACTGCTCACACTATGTGTCCATTAAAGGCCGCAGTCTTTACTCTGGGAACCCGGGTTTGTGGTAGACAGGAAAGAAAAGTGGAGGATTTTGCCGTGGCCCCCAGGGCTTCGCCCAGAAGTGAACTGTGTTTCTCGTGCTTACGCTCTGTTGGCTGAAATGAGTCACATGGCCGAGCCTGCTATCAAAGGCACAAGGATATATCATGTATAGGGTGAGGGGCCTTAAGGATGGGCAGGGCTATCTCCAACAATAATACCATCTACGACTCTATCAGGAGTGGAATCCGCCTCTTACCTTTCTAGAAAATTGGGTTTTCCCCAATACTATAGTTTCTGGAATTATCAAACTAACAATGGTTGAATCATAGGCTACATCAACATTCTGAGAACCCCAGAGTATGATTTGAATATTTATGTGAGACTCTGACCTGCTGGGACATTCGTGTAGATGAATTGTATTCCATTTCCCCACCCAGTTGCTGGAGCAGAGACCAGACTCCCCCTCAGCTCCCTCCCTCAACTGACCCCCAGATCCTGTAGACTTTCTCTGAAATATCTCAAAGTTCTGCCCCCTTGTCCTCAGTGCTAGGGCAATGCCTGAGTTTAAAATCAAATCACCCCTCCTCTGGACTCATGAAATCACTCCCTTTTTTTTTTTTTTTAAGATTTTATTTATTTGACAGAGAGAGCACAGAGGGAGAGTGAGAGGGAGAGACAGACTCCCCGCTAAGCAGAGAGCCCAACTCCGGGCTCGATCACAGGACCCTGGGATCATGACCTGAGTCGAAGGCAGACGCTTAACAAACTGAGCCACCCAGGCGCCCCTGAAATCACTTCCTAATGGACGCTTGGTCTCCCCTCTTGCCAGCCGCAGCCCATCTTCTTCCAGCTGGTTGAGAGATCTTTCGAAATTCAAGGACAACCATGATCCTCTCTTCTCTTTTTTAAACCTTCGGCCACTGTTGTGCCCTTACCTGTGGGCTGACATCCAAACTCCTTGGGGGACAGTATGATGTGACAGTCAAGAGCAGGATTTTCACATCAGCCGGTTCGGGCTGAAAGCGGAGATCCCCACTGTCTGTGTGACCACTGGGAAGTCTCTCCACCTCTCTGAGCCTCTGTTCCCTCACCTGCAAAATGGTGATAATATTAGTCGCTACTCACAGGTTTCCGTGACATAATGAGATTCATTTACATGAGATAATGCGTGGAAAACACTTAGCAAAGGGTCTAGCACATCGTAAATGCTCCACAAACGGCAGCTAATACTGTTATCACAGTTTGGATGTTACGAGACCCCCTTCTAGCCACTTTCAACTTTCACTCTGCCCCTCCCCCCGCCCCTGCCCCTTTCCATCTTTGGGCTGTGGCGTTGTCCCCGGGACATACACGCCATGCCCTTTTGTGTCAGGGCTTTGATATATGTTCCTTCTGCTTGAAATGTCCTCCTTGCTGGGAAAACGTAGGCATGTGGGGGGGCAGTCTCCAACTCTTGGCAGCTTTACTCATGACTACCCAAACCTGGAAGCAACAGAGACACCCCCAGGAGGTGGGTGGGCAAATGCGGCACAACCAGGCGCTGGAATATTATTCAGCAATGAAAAAAAAAAAGTTATCGTGCCACGAAAAGGCACGGAGGAAGCTTAAATGCATATCACTAAGTGAAAGAAGCCAGTCTGAAAAGACTGCAGACCTGTGATTCCAGCTATGGGACATTCTGGAAAAGGCACAACTATGGGGTGGTGGTTGGGGGCTGGGGTCGGGAGGGAGGGTGAACATGTGGAGCCCTGGGGGGTTGGGGGGCAGTGAAACTATTCTGTAAGAGCGTAGAAATGTGGACACATGACATTATGCACTTGTTAAAACCCATAGGGCAAGAGTGAATCCCACACGAGAGTGAATCTGAATTAAGAGTATGTCAAATTACGATTCATCAACTGTTTCAAATGCACCGCTCCAGTGCAGCATGTTAGTAATAGGGGGTCGTCTGAGCCGGAAACAGGGTATCCGGGCGGGCTCTGCTCACGTTTCTGCAAACCTGAAAGTGCTCTAAAGAATTGTTTATTAATTAAAAAAATTTTTTTTTAAAAAAAATGCCTCTTTCACCTAAGGAGTCTGCGTTTCAATTCTGCCTTTGCCACTGATGATACACATCACCATCGAATGTATTATTTATTGCTTGGGCAAGTTACTTAGCCTCCCTGAGCCTCAGTTTCCTGGTCTGTAAAATGGGGCTCATGAGCGCGTCTCTCCCGTAGGGCTGTTGTAGGAGTCGAGTGAGTCGGCGTTGGTGCAGATGGGCCCTGCGGTGCCAAATGCCTTTACACCGTTGTCACGGGGCCCCAGCGGCGGCGTCCATGGTGACTGTAACGTGGGCAGTGCAGGGGGCAGAGCGGCTGGGGGCATCACCACCTGCGCCCCCAGAGCAGATGGAACCCGGGCAGCTCTAGGGAAGCCGCTAGGGCCTGGGTTCTTGTTCTCTTCTCCGAGAGAGGGGAGTTTGTTCAGTTGTCCTGGGCAGAAGGCTGAAGACTGGGAAGCCCCAGCACCCCATTCTGTTTGGCTGAAGAGGGACAAGCTCTTGGCCAAACACGACGTTCCCGAAGGGCTCAGCAGTGGCGGAGCTGAACCCGGGATGACACAGGGCAGGCAGCCCCAGGCTCGGGACCCACGCCGGTTGCTCTGGAAGCTCTCGGCTG